GAGGGGAGGGGAAAGGAGGAAATTCTTCAGGGGTTGATCCAAGCTACTCAGAGGTTTTATTCACCAGCAGCATCAGCCTCACTTGGGAGCGTGTTAGAAATGTGGTGTCTGCCTCTTCTCTAAGTGGCCTGGCTTATTCTGTGAAAATGGGTCACTATTCACTAGATCCAGAAAATGCCACAAAATCATGCAAATCAAGAGGTTCAAATCTTCATGTTCACTGAAGAACACCTGTGAAGCTGCCCAGGCCATCAAGGGTATGCACCCAGTATCTGAAAGATGTCATGTTTGCAGAGACGATGCACACCATTCTGACATTACCAGGGTGGAGTTGGCAGGTGTGTCCAGGCCAAACAGTGGGACTGGACACCAAGAAGAGTGCCGAACGCTTGCTCCACATGCTTAAACATGCAGAGAGATACGCTGAACATAAGGGTTTACATGTAGATTCTCTGGTCATTGAGCATAGCCAGGTGAACAAAGCACCCCAGATGTGCGGCCAGACTCACAGAGCTCAGGGTCAGCTTAGCCCACGTGTGAGCGCTGCCTGCTACAATGAGATGAATTGAAAAGGAACAAACAGTCCCTAAACCAGAAGAGGCTGCACAGAAGAAGACAGCCTGTAAGAAACGGAAGAAACAGAAACTTATGGCGCAGGAATAAATTCGACACACAACAAATGCAATTAAAAGTACAAGAAAGGAAAGAAGGAAGGGAGAGAGGGAGGGAGGGAGGGAGAGGGAGGGAGGCAGGCAGGAAGGAAGGGAGGCGGAGGGAGGGAGGGAAATAAAAGGAATGAAGAAAGAAAAAAAGAAAAGAAAAGAAAGGAAAAGAAAATGTAGTGTCTCAGGTTCCCCATCCAAGATCTCCTGCTCCTAATCTGCATTTTAACAAGATGCACGGGGTATTTGTGTGCACAGCACAGTTTGAGAAGTGCTATTCTAAGGTGTAGATGAGGAATTCTTAGCCAAGAAAGTGCAAGCTTGTGGTTCTCAGCTTTAGCTTAGAAGCATGTGGGACACTTAAAAAATACTGACGACTGAGGTTCACCCTAGAATAGGATGAACCCAGGGAACCCAATCTCTGGGGGCAGAGCCTAGGCATGGATGTGTTTTCAAAGCACCCCAGGTCACTTCAATGTGCAGCCAAAGCAGAAAATAGAGGATAAGTGATGCTAAGAGCTGCGGAGCACTCTGTGACAACACCCTGTCTGAAGGAAGCCCTGTCTCCTTCATGGGCTGCCTCCTCTGTGCTTGGCAATGTCAAGGAAACTGCCCTACACAGGCCCACGTCGAATCCACAACTGTTCAGAAGATGGCCTAACATGGGGAGTCCAATCTTTTGGCTTCCCTGGCCCACACTGGAAGAAGCAGAATTGTCTTGGACCACACACGACATATATAAACACTAAAGACAGCTGATGGGCTGAAGAAAAAAATTGCAAAAAAAAATCATAATGTTTCAAGAAAGTTTACAAATTTGTGTTGAGCCACATTCAAAGCCAGCGTGGGCCCATGGGCCATGGGCTTGACAAACTTGTCTAGACCTCATCCTCGAGTTACAGAATAAGCCTCCTTTCACTGGAGAAATACCTTACTATTATAGGCTACATGAAACACTCATGCATATTACAAAGTGGAATATAAAAATCTGCTGCCCTAAGACATTGAACAGCTTCAACGTATCCAGCAATGCTTTATTCAAATGTGGCCGGACAGTGTGACCAAAAGGAGAGCATGGACACTGGGAAACCAATCAGTCAGATTTCCTATTTTCATAACTGAGAGACAAAATAAAAAAAGGGTTGACAGCAGGTGCACATGTTTGAAATACTTTTGCGAAAGCCCATTGCCACAGCCAAATGTCAGTCTCTTGGAGGCATAAATTAATTTACCACAAATGCATGCCTGCTTGTGTCTGGATTCAGCGAGGGCGAGCAGTAAGTGTTAGACTTTTGGACAACAGCTTAAGGAATGACATTTCTCCAACTTGCTGTGATTTTCATCCTTGAGCAGAATGTTTTTCTTGGAATGGGTTTCTGGGAGGGTTTGCGGAAACAGTTCTGGTTATGTGTGCGGGCCCCGAAGGGCGCTTTTATGAATTTAGAGCGGCAGCTGTCCAGGCAGAGGGATGCTCTTTACCCAGACAGCGTGTGCCCCAGTAAACATGTGGATGGCTCTCATGGAGCTCTCCAGACACGTGGCTTGTGCCCCCTGTGCCAGGCCTTACCTGGTACTGCTGCCCCGTGCAGAGAATGAGGTGGTCGTAGAGCACGATCTCGTCCGTGGAAAGCACAACATGCTTGGTTGCTCGGTCTATGCCGGTCATTCTGCCCACCACGACATTAACCCAGGAGCACAGTGACATCAGTGCATAATCTTTATCATTAAAACAGTGGCTGCAAAGAGAGATGCTCCATAAGTGGCATTTGAGCAGCTGACAGCGGGCATTAATTAGACATCTGGTGAGCTGGTTCAAGTCCCCTAGTGGGCTAAGTCTGCTCTTGCTGTGAGTTTATCAGGCTGATACTAGGAGATTTTTCGTTATGAAACAGTCACAAATTGACATCTTCCCATTAAAGCTAAATTGTTCCACCTGGCTTAGGTCAGCCCACAGCTGGGAGGGGTGTGTGTGTGTGTGTGTGTGTGTGTGTGTGTGTGTGAATTCACTATTATATCTTTCTTCTGCTTCTATTTCATGGTGGTTATAAATTCGCTTTAGCTGTTAAATTGTCGTATTGACCACAGCCTCAAAGGGAATGAGAAGGAAGAAAGTAACATCGTTGAGGATTCTCAAAGCCAGGGGTCAGATTCCTTGAATACCGAAAACCCTTCCTAGTCGCTAATACTTTTCAATAATGACTCATTCTGAGAATTAGTGTATGGCTTCCTGCCAAAACAACAAAACACATTTTACTTAAAGAAGATGGCAATTAGGGAGCTCCGTTCTCAGCAAGTCTCCCTGGAGGCTTTGGGGTTCACTCTGCAGGGCAGAGGTGATTTTCCAGGAACACAGACTTCTGCTGCCAGCAGGCCCAGGGCCGGCATTCGTGCTGAGGCTTCAGGGTGCTGTGGCTGCAGGCGCCTTCTTTTTCTGGATCTGTTGGAGTTGGTGTGCTCTCATGTAATGTGGTAAGAGTGGATTTCTTGTGGCTTTGGGTTTATTTAAAGAGTTTTGTGAGGGTTGTTTCCAGAATTCTCTGAAAGGATTGACTTCATGTAAACCAGCTTTTAGTGATTCTGTCCTGAATACCGAGAGTCTAAGGTAATAGGACAATAAGTGCTTCTTTTAAATTTAGGCTGCATGATTCTTTTCTTCCTTTTTCTCTTAACATAAAAACATTAAAATTTTTATTTATTCATCTATTCATTTATTTATTTTTAGAGACAGGATATCACTATGTTGCCCAGGTTGGTCTCGAACTCCTGGGCTCAAGCGATCCTCCTGCCTCAGCCTCCTGAGTAGCTTGGACTAGAGACGCGTGCCACTTTTATGCCTGGCAGCATGGTCCTCTTCAAAAAGAACTGTGCCATGGTCTGTGTCCCTGCTCTTTTGCCAACAAGCCTGGACTCAGTGTCCCCCTGCTATCCTTCAGTTTCCTCACCTCTCAACACAGGATAATGAGCCCTACCTACGTTCCTCCACCGCTGACCGCTGTAAGAAGTGACTGTGAGAATGTAAGACACGCTGCTTTGTTAAGCAGGATGCATATGTGAAGAGTATTATTCTACATAATATTAATGAGACAGAATCCGGTTTACCCTCCTTGGTGGCAAACAAGATTCCGATGTGGCCATGAGAGAACATTTCTTCTTTTTGATCTGCACATAAGCCTGGTCTTACCACACAAAGAGAATTCTAGTCATGGGGGCATATTAGACCCCGTTATAGGACCTGTGAAAGGGCTCTGTGAAACAACTTAAAAACAAGAAGATTTCTTCTTAAGAAGAAAAGAAAATCGGGGACTGGCCTATCACAGGAAAATAATGGATAGTGAGATGAAACTCTCTTGTGAAAAACCATTTTGCTAGCTTTATAGGAACACAGGAAATGTCATGGCTTCCCACATTCGCGACAGACCCACAAAAGCTTGTTCTGATCTGCTCCAGATCCCTACTGTCAGCCATCCACGATGAGGAAAAATTAAATACAGTTAGTGCACAGCGGTTTGTTTTAGGAGGCTGTGCCCAAAGATAAAGGCTCTCAGAGGAAATTTCTGGAAGGTGAAGACAATGATATTTTTAATGACAGTTGGACAGTAGCATTGATCACATCAGAATGCGTATTTCAGAGTTAAAATGTGAAGCTCTGTCCAGTTGGAATGGCAGTGCAGACCACTGATTTTTAGGAAACTTTACTAAGTCACGGACGGAAGTGTTGAAGAACATGGGGTGATTGCTGTTACAGTATGTTCCTACACTGAATGATTTTATTTACTTATTTGAGACAAAATCTCACTCTGTCACCCAGCCTAGAGCACAGTAGTGCCATCATGGCTCACTGCAGCCTCAACCTCCAGGGCCCATGCTATCCTCCCACCTCAGGCTCCCGAGCAGCTGAGACCATAGGTGTAAGCTACCATGCCTGGCTAATTTTAAAACTTTTTATAGAAATGGGACTCTCCCTACATTGCCCAGGCTGGTCTTCAACTCCTGGGCACAAGTGATCTTCTTGCCTTGGCCTCCCAAGGTGCTGGGATTACAGGTGTGGGATATCATACCTGGCCATTTCTCAGTTTAAAATATCATTGTGTAAGTGATTTCTACCCATTCTACATATTACTATCCATTCTGGACCTTCCTTAATTTCCTCACCAGGTGAGTGAAACTATATATTGAAGACTATAAGTGATATTTTTTCAAAATTATTTTTTAAGTAGAATGAATAAGCTTTAATATTCGAACACAGCAGGGCCTGACTCATGGCTTGGTAATAAGAGAAATGCCTCCACTAGGCTTCCCCAGAAAAGAGAGACAGAACCAAAGAAGGCACATCAGTGAAACTTCGTGTTTCTCAAGTGACCGTGACTCAAAACTAATGTGAAAGACTGTCTTCACAGAAAGTTCTGAAGACAGATAATAAGGAGGAGAAAAAAAGCAAAAGTGCAGGATGGGGAAGTTTCTGGAAAAGGGCATAGATGAATAGTTTGCTCTAGGTTATAGAGCCCCAAGCTTGGGTCAGAAGCCTTAGCCCAAAGCTCCAGGTGTGCAATTAGAAGCCAGCGCTGGGGGCCGCACAGGAGTCAGTGGAGACCTCCACCTCATGGAGTCAGGACTCTTCCGAGCTGGAAGGATCCCTAGAAGTTCACATAAAGGATTAATTGTGACACTCCTAGAAGACGGACTATCACAATTAACTTTCAATTAGTCAGTGCTGATTTTCCAATTAGTGGGTTTCTCCTGCTTCCTGTTCCTGCTCCTCTCCCACCGCCTTCCTTTCGGCTGCATCCCAGACACGCCATTAGCACCTCCACCAGAGGCTGGTCAGGGCAGGGGAAAGAAGACAGAAGTGGTTCAAAAAATCCTAACAATAATAAATTAAAGCACTGGTTAATGACAAGTTCAAAATTAGTATTTGGAATCAGGGATTTAAATTACTAAATTTATGAATGTCATTTGCACCTGTTATTTTGAAACTCCATGATCAGAGATAATTTCCTTTATTGGGGTTATGAGGACCATTTGAAAGGCATATCCTATTTATGGTTCAATCTTATCAAAATATGTGGTTTCTAAGAAATAAGATGACATGCAGTTACCCATGCAAAGGGGTCTGGCTGTGTTATTTAGTCCCTAATACTTGCTTGAGAAGACTTTTGCAGGTATTTCTGGAGGTAACTTTAATCTGTTCCACATTATTTACTGGGTATCTGTTGTGTGCCAAGGACTGTCTCAGATATTGAGTATACAGCAATGACTCAATGAATAAAAAGGCAAAAATTTATCCCCTGGTAGACTTTATATTATAGTTGAAGGACTCTGAATATAAAGAATAAACATAATTTCAAAAGGCAAATAACACAATATTTAGGAGGATTTAAGTAGCAAGAAAAAAGCAGAGCAGAGGATGAGGGACTGGAGTGTGCTGGCGTATTAGCTGCAAACGAATGGGGCGTTGAGTAGACCTCACAGAAAACGTGAAGTTTAAGAGAGAAAAGCAGAGACCTCAAGGTGGGGACGTGCCTGTTACATCCGGGGAACATCCAGGAGGCCGGTGTGGCTCAAATGGGGAGAAAAAGGGCAAAAGTCATAAAAGGTGAGGCTAGAGAAATAAGTAGACGGAGACAGAGTTTAGGCTGGAGCATCACAGCATTTTCTGAAATGATGAAAATGTTCTCATCTGTTTTATCCAATATGGTAGCCACTGGCGACATGTGGCTAATGTGACTGAGGAGCTGTTGTTTTCATCTCACTTAATTTTAATAATTTAAATTTAAATAGCCACACACATGACTAGTGGCCAGCATATTGGATAGTGCAGTTCTGGGCTGTGAGGAGGTGAGATGATCTGAGCCACCTTTCTGCAACCTTGCTCTGGCGTCTGTGCCAAGAATGTGGAGGCAGGGACAGCAGCAGGGACACCAGTGGCTTCCGCCCACTCAGTCTGCCATGGTGCATCACACCTGCAGAAAGCCCCCTCAGTAGCTGTTCTCTCCTCAAATACACCCAACATGGGATTGAGGGAAACTTACACTATGCTGATGGAATTAAGTTCCTCTTAAGACATTTGTCAATAAAACCAACATTTCCTGGGAATCATGTAATTTAGAAAGAAGGAAATGGAGGGAATGTGCTCTTGGCCAGAAGTTGGTGTTATGATAATTTTAACAAAAAATCCAGCAAACTTAGCTTCTCTTCTCATGTACTGCTCATGATCAAAAAAAAAAAAAAGCAAAGCTCAGAGAAATGAAATTCCTTGTCCAGGACCTTAGTGGCATGGGCAGGATCTGAAACCACATCCTCCTGGTTCAAACCCATGCCCTTTTTTGTAGCATAATGACATCCTTCAAAAAGAAAGTTTATAGTCTGATAAAATTATTAAGTGGAAATGAACCTTGTTCTCCTGGCAAAGAAGTTGTGTTTTTCTCTCACTCTTTGAGGGCAAAACCAGTCTTTTTCACAGAGGCAAGAGGGTCCCTTCATCATGGAATCTAAAATGAATCCCCTGGGAGGGAACAATTTCCTTCCTCCTTATTGGAAAAATTGGGAGCTTGTTTCTAGAGGCAGGAAAACTAATATTTCTTGTGCCCATGTTTTGCTACAGGAAATTAAAATGAATAAAAGCTGTGTGATAAAGACATGATATTTTCCAGAACAGATGTTGTCAAATAGTGATTCTATTGGGATGAAGACAATAAAGCTCAGCCAGACTGGCGTGGAAGTGCTTTGCCTGATCAGCTGCTGAGTACAAATGGCCAGGGTGGCTGTGGGATGCATATCCCAGTGAGGCGCCCCATCAGAGGCAAATGTAGTCAACAAGCTCCATTGCCCTGTACTGTCACTCAGAAACCAAAGGCAGGACTCGCTGGGTCTGGAGGCTCCACCCCAATTGTTTGTAACAGGGCAGATGTCTTCCTAGAGATACAAACTGGTGGTCCCAGTCCATCACTCTTGGACAGTCATTTGTGAACACACTGATACTTGTATCTCCTAAGTGTTGTCTGAACTCCAGGAGAAAAGCCCTACCACTTTTTCCTTTCCAATCTGGAATCTATATTAAGCATGAAATAGACTGCACACAGATTAGGACATTTAGGCCCCAGAATGAAAAAGCAAATAAAATTCATACTCGCTGGCTAAAAACTTCCTTTTTTCAGTGTCCAGAAGTTCTTTTCCTGGGAGTCCGTGAGTTGAAATCAAGGTGAGATTATTAAACTTCAGGTGAGAGCTAAAGAAAAGGAAAAATGGAAAAGAACAACCAGTTAAGTGCAATTTAGCAAAAGCTTATCATAGTTCAATTTAAATTAATATCACGTCACCCAACTGTTGAATTGGTTTTGGAGCTGCTAATTCTTTGCATGAACCTTCAAACAGAGCCAACCATTTCAAGGAAAAAAGGAAGATGGGGCTGGAGCTGCTAACTGCAGAATCTTCCAAAAAGCTACACGTTAGTAATGAGACAGGTGTTTTAAATGTGCTTCTCAAAGTAAAACTAAATAAAACAAACTGGGAGGAGGGAGATAAATTTAGTATAAAGTTTAAGTATAAATTTTAGACTACTTCTATTAATAATAAACTGCTTGGAAGCATAATAACCGCAGCTCAACCCTGATGAGTATTGCCAATCAAGCATTTTGAATGGCTCATTACTCCCTCTAGTCCTCACAGCAATCCAGTCAGGTCAGTGATATTATTACCCCCTTTTTTTTAGGTGGAACTGAGGCAAGTAATTTGCAAAGACCATTGATATGATTTGGCTCTGTGTCCCCACCCAAATCTGCCTCATCATGTATCTCCAATAATTCCCACGTGTTGTAGGAGGGACCAGGTGGGAGGTAATTCAATCATGGGAGCAGGTCTTTCCCAGGCTGTTCTCATGATAGTGAATAAGTCTTATGAGATCTGATGGTTTTAAAAATGGGAGTTTCCCTGTACAAGCTCTCTCTTTGCCTGTTGCCATTCATGTAAGTCATGACTTGCTTCTTCTTGCTTTCCACCGTGATTGTGAGGCCTCCCCAGCCACTTGGAACTGTAAGTCCATTAAACTTCTTTCTTTTGTAGATTGCCCAGTCTTGAGTATGTCTTTATCAGCAGCATGAGAATGGACTAATAGAGTAAATTGGTACCAGTAGAGTGGGGTGCTGCTGAAAAGATACCCAAAAATGTGGAAGCAACTTTGGAACTGGATAACAGGCAGAGGTTGAACAGTTTGGAGGGCTAAGAAGAAGACGAGAACATGTGGGAAAGCTCGGAACTCCCTAGAGACTTGTTTAATGGCTTTGCCCCAAATGCTGATAACGACATGGACAATAAAGTCCAAGCTGCGGTGGTCTCAGATGGAAATGAGGAACTTGTTGGGAACTGGAGCAAAGGTGAATCTTGTTATGTTTTAGGAAAGAGACTGGTGACATTTTGCCCCTGCCCTAGAGATCTGCGGATCTTTGAACCTAAGAGAAATGATTTAGGATATATTGCAGAAGAAATTTCTAAGCAGCAAAACATTCAAGAGGTAACCTGTGTGCTGTTAAAGGCATTCAGTTTTATAAGGGAAGCAGAGCATAAAAGTCTGGAAAATTTGCAGCCTGACGATGCAATAGAAAAGAAAATCCCATTTTCTGAGGAGAAATTCAAGCCAGCTGCAGATATCTGCATAAGTAACAAGGAGCTGAATGTTAATCCCCAAGACAATGGAAAAAATGTCTCCAAGGCACATCAGAGCTCTTCATGGCAGCCCCTCCCATCACAGGCCCTGAGGCCTAGGAGGAAAAAGTGATTTCGTGGGCCATGCCCAGGGTTCCCATGCTGGGCAGAGCCTAGGGACTTGGTACCCTGCATCCTAGTTGCTCCAGCCATAGCTGAAAGAGGCTAATGTAGAGCTCAGGCCATGGCTTCAGTGGGAACAAGCCTCAAAGCCTTGACAGCCTCCATGTGGTGTTGAGCCAATGAGTGCACAGAAGTCAAGAATTGAGGTTTGGGAACCTCCTCCTAGATATCAGAGGATGTGTGGAAGTGCCTGGATGTCCAGGTAGAAGTTTGCTGCAGGGGCAGGGCTCTTATGGAAAACTTTTGCTAGGGCAGTGCAGAAGGGAAATGTGGAGTGAGAGCCCCCACACAGAGTCCCTACTGGGGCACCACCTAGTGGAGCTGTGAGAAGAGGACCACCATCCTCCAGACCCTAGAATGGTAGATCTACCAACAACTTGCACTGTGCACCTGGAAAAGCCACAGACACTCAATGCCAGACCATGAAAGCAGCTGGGAGGGAGGCTGTACCCCAAAAAGCCACAGGGGTGGGGCTGCCCAAGACAATGGGAACCCACCTCTTGCATCAGCATGACCTGGATGTGAGACATGAAGTCAAAGGAGATCATTTTGGAGCTTTAGTGTTTGACTGCCCCACTGGATTTTAGACTTGCATGGAGCATGTAATCCGTTTGTTTTGGCCAATTTCTCCCATTTGGAATGGCTGTATTTATTCAATGCCTGTTCTCCCATTGTATCTAGGAGGTAGCTAACTTGCTTTTGATTTTACAGCTCATAGGCAGTAGGCACTTGCCTTGTCTCAGATGAGACTTTAGATTGTGGACATTTGAGTTAATGCTGTAATGAGTTATGACTTTGAGGGGTCAGGTATGGTGGCTCATATCTATAATCCCAGCACTTTGGGAGGCCAAAGTGGGTGGATCACCTGAGGTCAGGAATTTGAGACTAGCCTGACCAACATGGTGGAACCCCATCTCTACTAAAAATACAAAATTAGCCAGACGTGGTGGTGCATACCTGTAATCATAGCTACTTGGGAGGTTGAGGCAGGAGAATCACTTTAACCTGGGAGGTGGAGGTTGCAGTGAGCCAAGATTGCGCCATTGCACTCCAGCCTGGGCAACAAGATTGAAACTCTGTCTCAAAAAAAAAAAAAAAAAAAAAAAAAGACTTGGGAACTGTGGAGAAGGCATGATAGGTTTTGAAATGTGAAGACATGAGATTTGGAAGGGGCCAGGGATGGAATTATATGGCTTGGCTCTGTGTCTCCACCCAAATCTCATCTTGTAGCTCCCATAATTACCATGTGTTGTGGGAGGGGCGTGGTGGGAGGTAACTGAATAATGGGGGCAGGTTTTTCCCACACTGTCTTTGTGATGGTGAATTAGCCTCAAGAGATCTGGTAGTTTTAAAAACATGAGTTTTCCTGCACAAGCTCTCTCTTTGCCTGCTGCCATCCATGTAAATCGTGAGTTGCTCCTCCTTGCCTTCCACCATGGTTGAGAGGCCTCCCAGCCACATGGAACTGTCAGTCCATTAAACCTCTTTCTTTTCTAAATAGCCCAGTCTCGGGTATGTCTTTATCAGCAGTGGGAGAACAGACTGACACAACCATGTGGCAAGTAAGTTTGGAGTCAGGATTTGAACCCAGGCTGCCTGGCTCCAGCATCCTCTCACCTTACCTCTGCCCATACTGTCCTGTAGACCCAAATTGTTCAGAGGGATCCAGAGTTGGTCTAATTCCCATCGGCTGACATTAGCTTCATTACATTCAGATACACACAATTACTCAAATCAGGATACCAAAAAGTGTCATCTAAGAGGAAATTCTAGAAGGTTCCTTTTTAAGAGCAAAACTGCTTTATTTTTGTATCAGGCTTTCCAGAGCCCAAAGCACATTCATAAGCATTCGCATAGAGATTAATCTGCACAATTTATGCTGGGGGTAGGGGAGAAGTCGGTTTTTCTGATCCACATTTTATATGTAAGAAACTCAAGGTTGGAAATGATAAGTAATTTGTTCAAGGTTACAAAGCTCATAAGCAGTGCCAGCTATGAAAGCCAGGCCTGCTGGTCCCAGGCAGCACCCTGCTCCAGGCACCCACAGCCGTCCCTCTAAGCAGTCCTGCAGGTAAAGTGCACCTGAGTAGAGGCCTCTAAAGAACTCACGTGTTCAAGGCTCACTCCATGTTTGCCCATCAGGATTTAAGATGCTCTTGCTGCAAATCCACCCCCTGGTTAAAGTCAGTAAAATGTTATGGGTGAGTTGATCTTTTCATAGGGTTCATGCTGATGAGAATTTTTTTTCTAAAATCTCTTCTTAGTACACACCTCCCTTTCAATCAACCAAATGCCAAAAAAGAAGCCTTCACCAAGTCGGAGGGAAACACCTGCCCTCCTTTCCCATGAGAAGACTGGAAGTGTTCCAAATGTGGAACTGCTATCAATTTACTGACAATCTGTTAAGCAGCACTAAAAGCAGGAGACTTGGTGATGGCCCAGGCCAGCAATGCAATAAACTCAACTGAACCTGACATTTAAAAATAGCTCAATATTATGAAAGGTTTTGCTCTAAAGTCTCTAAGGATGAGTGTCATTTAAGAATGAATATTCTTACATGATAAGAAGAAAACTAAGTGCATCTTATCCTCTAATAATAAGAATAAAAAAATCAAATATCTTCAAATAACATAAAGGTCACAATTAACCCAGCTACTTCCGGCTGACAGTCTGCAAGTGCACACTGATTACTCGTCTCTGATTTATTACCATTTAATGGAAAATACTAATGCTAATAATCATAATAAGTGTTTATACTCACATGCAGTTAAAATTTATCCCAGCTTTGGGTGCTATGTGATAGAAATGTGGTTTATGTTAAAGCAATAATAGTTATATATATGGGCCCTTTTTACATCTCTACATAAATAGAAGGTTGAATAATTACCCGGCTATAACTTTTACCACAAAGACAATCCCTTTTGTTTTGAATCATTTGAATTATCAAACAAAATGGATCAAATGACTTATAAATTACCCAACTACCACGCTGCATTATCCTAATTATGCTGTTGTACAATTTAAAATTTCCCCCCAAAAACAAAGTCATTTTTTAAAAACCTAATCTATAGTGATATAGTACAAAGATTTTTTGGGGGGAGAAAGGCATTTTCTGAATTTTAATACATTTAAAAAAACAGGTTTCCACTCTTTTTCTTTAGCCCCAGTTGAATTCTTTTTGCATTCTTCACTGTTGCTGTTCTGGGCCTTTCTCCAACCTTGAAGTTCTCTACTGTAACCTCTCTTGTTATTTTTACTACCCCGCTTCCTCAGCCTCAAGTGAGCACATCTCCTATGCCATAAGGAACACGGGGACTGGTCACCAGGCATTTTTCTGTTTCCTTCTTACCGTGTCTAGAGTATTCTTCCATTCCCCTGAGTCAGAAGAGACCTGTCTCCCCATTA